ATCTGACAACATAATTGGGTTGACAGCGACATCTAGTGGCACATACTGGAATAAGACTGCAATAATATAACAGTACAGATTTTTTTTTTATTCTTTCTTATAAAAAAAAGAATATACAAAACTATATTGTAATTGATGTTTGTAATATATTTATTTATTTATTTATTTATTCATTTATATCTGAGAGTTAATGCAAATGACAATTATTAGAGAGACAAAACTCTACCTGTCTGCGAGCTTGTCTGTGATTTGCTGTAAAAAGTTCATAACGGCCTCTGTGGGAATAGAAAACAGATATTATCAGACACATAAATATAATATACATGTATTATAATATAGTAAAATAATATATATATATATATATATATATATATATATATATATATATATATATATATATATATATATATATATATATACACATATATACATATATATATATATACACATATATACATATATATACATATATATACATATACATACATATATATACATATATGTGTGTGTGTGTGTGTGTGTGTGTGTGTGTGTGTATAACTCCCTAAACTCGGCTAAACATTTAGTAATCTTTAAATAAGTATTCCCCAAAACACAAGTTATGATACATTTTTTTAAAGGATAGACTCACCGATGAGCCCAGAGTATGACAGCAGGCAGTCAGCGTAATTCTCCTTCAAACAACCTGACAGAGAGAGGGGCTCAGGCTGACAGTTAGTGAAGAAATCTGCCAGACGAGACCTAAAACACCACAAACACATCGGAGACATATTTCTCACCTTTTCCTTGCATGTATTAAAGTACAATCAGGACTAACAACATCACATTATAATTAAATATGGTTCATTACAAATGAAAGACAACATATGTTGACAAATGCATGTTTTAAAAGCACACTGCATCGTAGTTCTTGGCTGTTAAAAGTGTTAGGAGACTCTCAGCGCCAGACTGTTAAGGTGTTAAAGATTGTGTGAATCAATGTGCGGCACCTAATAAGACAGCAGTGTGTATTTTCTGGACAAGTACATGGGCTACATCTAGCTTCAAAATGACACAAATGCCAACGATTAACCAGTGATCTATAACCCTTTAATCTACACACTATATCGATGGTAGATTTAGCATATCTGTCATTATAGCATGCATAGATTTTTCTCAATATGCACAAAGCACAATTGGGGGGAAAATAACACACAGCAATGAAAACAAGTGCAGCAGTTGCTAGTGTGCACATCTGAGACAGCGATGCTATTTTAGTCATTTCATTAAATAGTCCTATAAAATTACCAATCAATGATTTTTTTTTTTTTTTAAGTTCTTTAAGGAGTTATGTACAGCAATAACTTATTTGGATGAGAATGTGTTTTGAGTGTCGTTTGCACATACTGTCATGCCGCTGACAATATGCAAATGATACTCAAAGCGCAAGCAATTTTTATTTTATTTTAATTTTTCTAGAAAAATGATTAGAATAGATGCGTTTATAAGACACAAACAGCATGCATTCTATGATATAATGTTGTTTAAATTAGAGTATATACTTTGTCATAATAGTGTTTGATGGGGAAAAAGCACAGTCAAATCCATTGCAATTCAATTATTTTCAAATATAAACCTCCTACATCTACTATATGTCCAAGCAAGGAGAATGTAAATTGCATGTGATTGATGCATTTTAATAAAGAAAATCTCTATTTTCTTTTTAAAAGATAAAATGTCTTGGCCATAACCAACAACAGCACTTTAAAAGTCGATCCAATTTTTGATCCAATGTTTAATATAATTTCAACTGAAACAAAGACAGGGTGGGGCATAGAGCTCCTCCCTTAAAAATAAAAACATCAAACAGCGTTTCATCTTTAGCTATGTTTCCATTGAAAAATGCGAATAGAATTTATGGGCAAAACTGGAATATTACATAAGACAGGCAAATAAAGCAGCATTTCTGTCCAACGAGTCCGAGAACAAAATCGTCACTTTCTGATTAACTGCGGTTGAATTTTAAAATTAAATATGGAATTTACTTCAGTAGGAGAAGCTGCGTAAATCTTTAATAAATTATTTGGGCCTCAGAAGACAGTGTTGACACAATGAATGCGGGCTGGCGTTCAAAGGCATGAGACTGAAAGCACAGATGCTCTTGACAGTTCTGCGGGTAATTCATAAAATAATAACACTAATACTGAAATGGTTGATGTTTCAGAATGACCAAAACAACATGTCAGATGTTTTACAATGTGGTCAGCCTGCTGGTTTGTCCATTCACACAGATTTTTTTGTTAACACTTTTTTGATGGTCCATTTGAGTATTAGTAGACTGTCCGCTTGACACTGTATCTGTTGATCCTGCTCCATCATTTAACTGACTATAAGAAACTTTGCAAGTGCATGTCAAGTTACACTAACCCTAATCTAATCTTTTGAGAATTAGGCTTGTGCAATGTAATTTCAATTCAACAAATGTACCATCAAAATAGTGACCCATTTTTCTATCGTTACATGATATCTTATAACACAATCACATGACTTTTTTTTAATGTGTACACTGGAATTTCAGTAAAAGTGTTTCCATTATAGTTTAAACACATTTTTCCTAACAAAGTTTATCCTGCTCAGTTATGCACACGTTGTTTATGCGCATTTTCAAAATTCATGCACATCTTGGTGTTTCCAACAAACATTTTATGCGCATATCCAAAATGTGCATTAAAAATAGGTAGATTGAAACATAGCTTTGCCAGTGAGAGCGGTTGAAATCAAGAGCATTAGGTAAAAAGAAGAATGAGAGATGAACATGTCAGATAGTAGAGAACATTTGATTGGTCAGAAGATTTGATGAAAAAAATCAATACGAGATGCAAAGCGAATTGTTGACCCAATTAGGTGAAGGTGACAAACTGCAAGCTTGCATCGTTTAAATTTTCTTAATGCAAATTTTGTCAGTTTTAGAGCACACTCGTTTTTATATAGCCTTAAGACTAACATAACAATACTAGCATCTAAAAAAAAAAATAAAAAAAAAATTGTTTCACAGTAACTTCTTAAAATAATGTAAAATGTGTTAAAGTTAACAACAAACCAATTAACAAAGATCAGTTTAGTCTGCACCTGTGGTTAATGCGTCTAAACATGCACTCCGGTGCTAACGACGACCCCAATTAGATTCCTGACTTGCGGTCCTATGCTGATCCATTCCCTCTTTCTGCTTCCCATTCTTTCCTGTCAATACTCTACACTTTCCTATCCATTAAAGTTGAAATCTCTGAAAAAAATAATTTTTAAAAATCAAAACAAAAACAAATATCAGCCATGATAATTTGTGGAAATCGATATCCTTAAAGGAAAGACAATCCATAAAAGGGGGAACATCCACCAGAATAAAGAAAGTGAACTTTACAGACCCCGAGCGCAAATACAAATACATTCCATTTATTTGTATGAGTGTCTCGGTGTGCCCCCAGAATGCCGAGCAGCAGCTCTTCTGATTGAGCAGGGTCATTAGCTGTCGCTCTCTCTGTGCCTAAAGACATTTACTTGGCAAAACTACATCTACGTTGTGCTAATGAATCCTTAACAAGCCACTTAGAGGATTCTGAAGTTGTCTCCTCCCTGCACAAACCAGATTTGGGGCTGCAGCTTTTATTGCTAGAACTCAATAATCACCTCGATTGTCCTCACGATGTGCTCTCCTGCCTTACCTTAATAAACACTTTATTTCCCAGTAGATGCAGTTTAGATGCCTGTGGCCATGTCTGTCCCTATTGGTGAATATGTGCTATTACAAATGGCTTGTTGTGATCTTGCCTCTCAAATTCAGTGAAACATTTCTTAGCACCACTAAAAAGCTCATGTTGCACTGCCACATGTTAATGCATACAAGAAAAGTGTCGTAGTGAAGTGTGGATCTATTTCTTTGCAACTGTGTGTGCGCAAAGTAGAGTCAGCCATTTTCAACTGTGAATTGTCCTTATACTCGTATTACTATTACATTAAGGATTTCTAGTTTGAGACCACGGACGTTTGCTTTTTCCTTTTTATGTATATATTCTTATACAAATTTAAGAAGTGGTGTATATGAAAACAAAGTTACACGAGTATGATTAGTAATATTGCTAACACTTTAGTAAAATCACATCATTAACTACTGGCTTATTACCTCATTAAGATGTTAACTGTTTATTAGCACTTATAAAGTATGATCTCCTTTTACATCGCTTATCCTACCTCTAAACCCAATTGCTGCCTTACTAACTAACAATAAGCAGCTAGTAGTGGTAGTTAATTGAGGGTAGTTCATTGTGAGTTAAAGGTTTGTTAATAGTGTTAATTGCCCATTAAAATAAAAGTGTGACCACAGTATTTAACCCAGGCTCATTCGGAAAATGTACGGTTATGCACATTTCTGAATAGTGCCAAATATATCCCAGGAGGTTTTTTTTTTTATTATTATTTTTTTTTTTGCAGTGTCTGTTTTGCGAATCAATCAGAGACTGCTGTGTGTGCTATTTGAGATCACTAATTTCTCTGGCAAGTACCATTCACGTTTGCTGTTCTCATTTAAATCCACCAGAGGCCGTTGTCGACTCACTGACTGAATGCTCCCTCCCCTAAACTCAACCAATAGTGTTTTCAAAAGCACAGATTGACCAGTCCATACGAAGGTAAGCAGTCAGCTGGTAAGCATGAAAAGGAATGGTGTCATACCGCCTCGTAGCCTTTATTTTGAAGACAAAATGCAGCCATAGATACTTATGGCTACATAATTCTCGATCTCCAGAAATGTATATAGGGCTAAATTTTCAGAATGAGCCTATGTTGGCAGTATTAATAGAATTAGTAGTTTTAGGTTTATTATAATTATGCTGTTGAGCAAAAATAATTTACACCTTACTCTCTCATCTTGTATAATATCTTGTTTTGATGCACACATATTTTTTAATTAATGAAAAAAGCTGTTGTCCACAGTCAAAATTATATTTTGTTATTTTATTGTACACAAGGGAAATTTAAGTGTGATTTGAGTTTGAATCATAGCTGATTTATTTTCTCTTATATTATCTTATAACATTAGTTAACAACAGATGATGAATTCACATAAACATTTTCAATGTTTAAAATGCAGCTGCTAGCTAATGTTTACTTAATAACATTAACAGATACTTTTAAACGACTATTAAATCATTATCAAAATTAAATAACTAAGATTAATAAATGTTGATGTCACAATCACCAGCGATCTAATCCATGTAGATCGCTCAAATCAATCAGTTTGCTAAATTACAAATCCGTGGGTATATGCACTACAAGATCTAGTCATGAACCGCTCACGCGCGGATTCTGCTGATAGCAAAGCCTGAGTATTGTCAAGTACTGATTGCATGGACTTTAATAGTGCACACACACATCTTGGCTGAGTCTTGTTTAACTGTCAGTGAACATTACGACCTGTTTCCTTTGCTTTCTCTTGCCGTGCTTGACCCTTGCTTTGTTGTGTTTATTCCTGTCTGCTGACTGCCTTTTGACCATCCGCCTGTTGTATGATCCCAACTCTGGACTTGCCTCTATACATCAGTTTGCCCCTTGGTTGACCATTGTTTGCCTGACCCTTCTTGTTAATAAACCTGCTTTTGGATCCGCACCTCAGTTGTCAGCGTCCCATTACATTACAGTTGATACAATATTTCCCACTTGTAGTTCATAATAAATTATGCAGTTAGCCAGTTTTAATAAATTGAGTCTTATGATAAACGTAACTATTCACTAGTTTATTCGAGCTAACTTACCCTAAATATAACATAATCCCAAGTAATTTCTGTAATATGAATTCTGCTAGAGTACTGTCAGTGAGTAACATTAAAAAAACTTTACATTTTGTGTCAGGAGCATTTTAAATGCAACGCAGAAACATGCATTTAATATAAATGTATACTTAAAGTATATGTACAGTGAAAGGCACAATACACACACAGTAAATGTAAATTCCATTGAATATGAAAATGTTGAAAAGAATAACAAAGGAGGCATTCAAACCTGCAGATGTAGTTGGTCTTGCATGAAGCTTGCAGTGTCAAGCAGTTGGGTCTCTCCTTGTCCTCATATGAACAAGCTGGCACGATGGTTTGGCGCCTGCGCTCAGAACAGGCTGACTGGTCCCCTAGAGGACAGGAGCAGTACAGCATGCCATAGCTGTGTTTGGGTGGCACCTTGTCAAAGAACTGCCGCAGGGCTTTGTGGCACTTCCGCTTGTTGCAGACTTCAGCTGTTGAGACTCTGCTCGTGCATGGGCTGATGTACGCAGAGCGGTATTTCTTACAGGTGTCATTCAGGTTGCAGGCCTTTGCTGCATTCAGACAGTTGTTCTCCTTTGCAAGCGCTGGCTCACCTGCAAAGATAAAGATACATAGTGTAAGAAACAATATGAGTTTTTTTAATCACCAGGCACTGCGTCTGTTTTCAAATTTAATAGTTGCTCAGCATTTACATTTTTACAAATTTACAAATATATATTAGTATATATTTTACAGTGGAAATAAAATACATTGATCTCTGTATGCATGCTTTGCACAAACCATTTGTTATCCATTACACAGCTATATATAAAATTCCAACTGTGAAAGTGGATAGTGAAAGTGACATGCCACTGCTGAAATACACCCGCATTTGGAAGGTTGCTGAGTGTTAAGACATGATTGCCAAGCTCACTTTGATTGCCACTTATCACTTTAAATCGGGTAATCATTTGTTTTTAAAAGGTTTATTTTGGTACCATATAAGCAAGCTTTTTTTTTTTTTTTGGCCTCCAATAGAACTCTGACATCTTGGCTAAAATGAGAATAAATTTAGGCTGCCAGTGAACATCTAATAGATTCCTAAGCCTATGGTCTAAACAAAAACTACTCAACTAATACACAGCAATGAATCAAATGTGAAGCCTGTCTAATCTGTCTATTTGATGACTAGTCTATTTTTGGACTATTGTTAGATGTGTATTAGATTTTCACTGATGGCCTGAATTCAAACTTGTTTTAACCAGGCATTAGTATTTGGATGTTTTTAGACTTCTTTTAAAAACAAAATTGCTTGGTGATTGAACACTATTAATACCTTGAGTAAAATCAAATCCAGTAAAATCAGTCCCTTTTGAAAAGTTAACACTCCAGTGAAAGCTTTTGCACCTTATATCTGAGAGTACAACATGGACTGGTGTAAAATGTGTTTCCATTTATTTATTAGTAATACTTTGTTAAGGGTGATGCAATTCCCATAGAAAAAAACATAGATGACATAGATGACATAGAAATAAACATAGACTTGTGTATTTTCTAAGATGCTACTATTTTGCATAGTCTGTGCAATAGCCAATACTTCCCAAAGACATGACATTTCATAGCTCACAATGTATTGGTTTGTGTGTGGTTATTTATTTTTTTTATTTTTTTTTTTTCACTCAGTATTACATATTTTGGTGGGTTTTTATGTGGTATTCAAAGCTTTCATCTTCTGTTGTGATTTGGAAAACCATCTGATGCAGTCTACTGCGGACACAAAATTCATTCATATACATTTTTATACATGTAACAATGATTTTGTGTGCACATTCAAATTGCACTATGCTGGGTTCTTTGACCATTTGAATACAGTGAATGACTTGTTCCATAGACTTATTTGTCATCTATGCCATCATGTACTGTTTGAGCTACAGTAGAGAACTGCAGAGTCACCAGCCAATCACAAACACTCTCCAGCTGTCAATCAGTTTACATATCTTTGGAGGCCAGTGAGTGAATGAATATGAATAAATAAATATATAAATACGAAAATAAATAAATAAACAGGAGAAGGAGCAGAATAAACAGATAAAGAAAAACAAAGAGTCTGATGCTATCCAGAGCTCTGAAACCCTTGCAAAAAAAAAAGTCTTATTTGAATACCCCACGGCACTGACAGGCATGTGAATTAATCATCGCTATTTCTGCAGGTCCGCCAAAAAACAGAAGCTGTTTATAAAGAACCTGTTTTTATTTTAAACGAAACACTGCTTGTCCCTTTGGATCCCTGCAGCCTAAACAAACAGTCATCTGGCTGAACAAGGGAGTCATCAGAGTGGCCGGCAAGGCTCTGCTTTCGCATGTCAGCTGCGGCTAATTGCTGGCTTTTGAACACATTCCACCATTAAATAACATTTCTGGAGACTTGCTTAGCCACAGCAGCAGTTTGGCTTATAATGAGAGCCAATTAAAAGCAAGAGATGGGTTGTATTAGGGTGGAGCGTACGTGTGCGTGTGTGTGTGTGTGCGCGTGCGTGCGTGCGTGTGTATAGGAAATAGTATTAAGGTGGTTGTGGAGCCTAAATGGATACTATGCTCTCTACATACTGTAGTCTCTAGAGGATGAACTTCATGTCATTTGGTCATGTTAAGTCCAAGACCAAGGCTAAAAATGGTTGTGTTAAACACCTTAAAGTGAAAATTCATCCAAACAACTTGCTGTAATTTCTTTTCACTACCAGGATTATAAGATGTTGGCAACCTCTAGCTGACATGGTGGCCACTGGTGAACGATAAAAGGTCAAAGGTTACCTTTTATTATAATCAACACTTGGTCATTAACACTCTAAAACAGTGGGTTGTTTTAACACTAGAACTACCGAGGCAGTCATTTTGATATATATATATATATATATATATATATATATATATATATATATATATATATATATATATATATATATATATAAAAACATGCCGTGTATATATTGAAGTCAGAAATATTAAACCCCCTTTGAATTTTTTTCTTTTTTAAATATTTCCCAAATTATGTTCAATAGAGGAAGGACATTTTCACAGAATGTCTTATAATATTTTTTTCTTCTGGAAAAAGTCTTATTTGTTTTATTTCAGCTAGAATAAAAGCAGTTTTTAATTTTTTAAAAAACATTTTAAGGTCAATGTTTTTAGCCCTTTAAGCTATTTTTTTCCAATTGTCTGCAGAACAACCCATCTTTATACAATAACGTGCCTTACCTAATTAACCTAGTTAAGCCTTTAAATGTCATTTTAAGCTGTATAGAAGTGTCTTGAAAAATGACCAGTCAAATATTATTTACTGTCATCATGGCAAAGATAAAATAAATCAGTTA